TAACTTTCATAGTAAAATAGAAAAACCTAGCAAAAAATAGGCATGGACGACAAAGAAGGTAAGACACTGAATTTCTATCCTCAAGTTTCTGAGTTCGAGTCCGCTGTGGCAGATAGTTCTTTATCCTGCTACAACGGGTATTGACTGATTCTGGGATCGGGAGACCCTCCTGGGGCACACTCAGCCTCTATAAAGTTGGTACTTTAAATTAAATAGTAAATTGTAGGAGAAAACTGGCGGTTGATTTAGATCTCGTCCCAATCATCTCACTGCACAATCCTAAACAGGATTCTAAACAGTATCTTCTTAAGTAACTAACAGTACTTTTTAAAGTAATAAATCGAAGACCCTCCAGGAATTGTAACGGTACAGGATTTTCTTTGTAGTAAAATAAATTAAAAAGTGCTAATTTTTTTCTTTCATTTTTTTTTTTTTTTTTTTTTTTTTTTTTTTTTTTTTTTTTTTTTTATTTTTTTTTTTTTTGTTATCCGCTACCTCACCATATCAGGTATACAAGGAAATTGTTATAGAGCTGCATCCAGACTTTTTCTGACCAGAGTGGGAAGATGAAGATCGACATTGATTGCACAAAGAAAACAATTTTAACTCGTCTAGGCAGGATTCGAATCGGTGCAGCTAGACTCGAATATATAAAATTGGGCAACGCCCCAGCACGCTCGGCCACAACGGCCTCGTATAGAACTCAACTGTAGTGTTTAATTTATTATTATATCTATATTTTCTATCGTAACAATTAATAACTACAGTTATAATTATATTTGAAGCATGCCTTCCCATACGACACATCATATCCAAAAATATACAAATAAAAAATAAAAAGTGATTTATAATATAGATAACTATCTATTAATGAGATCCCAATCAATTAGAGTGACTGAGCAAGGCGGCCATCTCCCCATCTCCAGCCCTTAAGACTCCATTAGGTTTAACGCCTGATCCAAGACCTGCCCAATCCCATTACCCCCGTTGACCCTCAATAAAACTTCCACTAGCTCCTTTTATCACGGCCGTAAAAGTAGAAAGAAAATATATATTTATTTCCCCGTTTTTCCTAGATCTCATCTAGGAGAGATCTGGCAATCCGTTTTATTCCCAACAGCGGATAAGAAATTGGAAAAAATAAAAAAAAAAATCTAAAGAAAGGAGTAATAAGAATAAAGGGAAAATGGAAGAAAGCAATAATAGTCAAGGGTGGATTTATAGATAGCGAATAAACCTTATTCTTTGAGATAGGTAGTTCCAGTAGAAATTGAGAAGTTGAAGGTTCATGATAATTTCTTTTTGACGCTTCCTTTAAGAGTCAGATAAATCCATAATATAAAAAAAATCTAACTAATTTTAGTATTATCAGCTTTTCAAGACTATACTGATAATGCTCCATAAACACAATCTATATTCCTCCGTCAACTTCACATCATTTTTTTTTTTTGTTGCGTTGTTTGATTGTTCAATTTGTTAAAACATTTAGGATTATGTTTTATGTTATATTAAAGCTTTCAAAGTTTTAATATAACAATAAAGACAAGATTCCTATTATGTATACCAGTGAAAATAAATGGTATGATTATGACATAATGAAATTAGTGTTACCCAAATGTGAGAACAAGACTAATCTTAGTTAGGAAACCTAACTCAGTCTCGGTCATGGTCTTGGTCTATTGCAGGAGTCTTGCAACAGTCTTAGTGTTACCTATTAGCTTATTACTATAGAGATATTACAGTAATTTTTTTAGATAGGGGAAACCTGACTAAGCTCGAATGAAAAATTGAAGGAGGTAAATGGAAAAGTATATTGGTTATACCAATTATTAACATATAGTAACTGAGGTTGTCAAGTATTAGTAACTGTTTTGCCCTAATTTTTATTTAAAAAATTGATTTTTTTTACTAGTCCTGGTTTTGGTCTTGCAAGTTAGGCGGCCTTGGTCTTGGTCTTGCAAAGAGCAAAACCAAGACGGATTTTGGGCAACACTAAATGAAATACAGCGTGTATTATGGAACTCCATAATATTTTGACGGTATGCGATAATGGGTAACAAGCAATCAGCTCCGATCTGTAACAAGAAAATGGTAGTCTGCATGTCAGGTTGTTAATTAAATTACCTCCGAGCTTTTATTTTAAAAAGTTATTTCAAAACCACTTGTGGAACCGTGTTCTACTGCTTTCCCATTAAACGAACGGCTTCAAAAGAAGCTAAATAAATTGTAGGGATGGAAGAACTGGTTACCCTACAGGATGCCTACTTACTTTACCAAAGTAGAAAGAGTTTCATTCGGTGAGAGCCAGGAAATTATCAACCCAAAGGCCGGACTCGAACCACCACACAGTAAGGGAAAACTCCCGACATCGGCTAAATCTATTTTTTCTTTTTAGAGCTCGAAAAACTATATAAACTGTTTTATAGATAATTTGTGGATTATGTGAGAATATTTTCAGTTTACAAAATAGACATTATTCACTGTTTTTATTGAATAGTTCAATTGAAAAAAAAAAAGATTTATCCGATGTCACGAGTTTTCCCTTACTCGTCCTCTGTGCGCCACCACGTCTGACTTGAACATAGTAAAACTACTGCCATATCACACTCCATGTTGGATTTTAAAAATTCGGATAGACTTTTTAAATTAAAATATGACCCTGAGAATTATTCTTTTTGAATATGATCTTGATGTTTTGAAAATAATTCTGTGCGTTTTGGGGAGAAGATATGTCTCGGTTGTTTTAATTAAAATAGATATCATAGGTGTGAAAGGCCTATTGAATCAGACCTATTGAAAAATGTTTAGGTGAAAATTAAGGTTATGAGAAGGAGTTGGTCGGGGAGGTGCGGTCAAATAAATACTTTTTTTTAAATTTAATTATTACGCCAAAATTTAATATTTTATTAATTTAATATCTTATTAAAAATTTAGTATTTATTTGACCGCACTCATCGGACCAACTCCTTCTCAATTTTATATCTCGGTCAAACATCTCTATATCATTAGAAAATTAAGGTTGCTCTGAACAACTAATCAACAACTAGAGCAAAAATACAGTATACCTTCTTCATCATTTATATTTAGTGAACAAGGAAAAACATAGTTCAAAACATCCAAAAAAGATATTTCATTTCGACAGGAAAATTTGTATTAGCATTTTTTATCATTTTTAGAGTCATCACCATTTAACGTGAACTATCTGGGGTACAATTTTATCTCATAGTATTTTAATTTTTTTTTCTATATCTCTTACCTGTTGACTTCCGAAAAATATAAGATTCCTTTGATGAAAAGAACGATTTTTAAAAACATATAAGTATTTTGTGAGGTAACCCGAATAAAAGTGTTTGATTGACTTTCATTAACTGAGATAGCCGATGACGTTAAAATATGGCTGTGGATACGTTACAACAGTCTTTTTTTAAATACATTTTCTGCAATTTAGTACAATTTTCCAACTTAACGACTTGTGAGAGCGTTACTTTCTGACAATATAACTAACTTTAAAGCCTCGGCCGTGTCGCTCGTTTTACGAGAAACAAGCAGCCGACAATGATCCCCAACTTTTTTATAAGCTTCTGTAAACTAATTTTGAAGTGTGATAAAACTAAGAATAAACAGTTTAATAGCACTGTAATACTGTAGCATACTCAAATGAATTTTCCGTAAACTCGTACCACGGAAAATTTTACTATGGTATGTAGTGTAAAAAAAAATGTGTAATCCGACTAACTGTACACTAAAAAAAATAAATTTTCATAAGGCAGAGTCATTAAGTGATCCTCGTTTTTTAAATAAGGTATCTCTTCTGTTAATTTATGCATTTTATTATATTCCTGTTGTATACTGTTGGGATCCTTCATTTCTTCATAATAGAATTAAAGTGACTATGAAAATAGATCAAATTCATCTTCTAAAAGTTGAAGTTTACGGTGCCAACATCTTTTAAATTATAAAAAAAAAATGTTATTTGTTGCTTAAATTGACAAAGAGATGAATGCAGCTAAATATTTTGTTAATATAAAATGGAAAACAATACCCAATTCTACTAATATATGTATTACATATCTTATAGAAATTTTCCGAATTTCATATCAAGGTGATTATATTGTTAAGAAACAGAAAAATAATTGCTCATGAATATGGGCCAGAATCCCACAATGTTGAGAAAAGCAAAATAAAAAAAAAATATGAATTAACGAAAGAGATACTTTCTTTTAAAAAACCCAGAATAAATTTCTATTAAATTATTTAAAGGTAATTGTCTAATTTATTTCATCGTCAAATTATTATCATCACATGGTATGTAGGTAATTTCATTTGGTTTATAAATATATATATTTAGTAAACAAGGAAAAACATTATTCCAAAAAAGATATTTCGTTTCGACAGGAAAATCTGTTCCCCTTTTTATCATTTTTAGCGTCATTGTCATATATATATATATATATATATATATATATATATATATATATATATATATATATATATATATATATATATATATTTATATATATATATATTAGCTATTTATAAAGGCCTTATTAACTACTTTAGACTACTACTACTACTTTAGACATATGTCATCGAGTTACGGGGGGAACAACAAAGACATCAGATATAAAAATAATTCAATCGTTCCAGTCAAAAATTCTCCGATAAATTGTATTTTTCTAATCTTATGTTACACATAAAAAAGTTCGGATACAAAACATTACCTGTCCGAAGCCTATGCCCTACCCCTAGTCATGCGGTATTACAGAATAAATTATAAACTCAATTGCCCAGATTATAGAAAACTTACGTTGTTTTTGGTATTGTAATTTTAGTTATATTTATATTAAAACGGATTTGACTATATCCGAACACCTTATATTTGTGTTTATTCTGACAGTCTGAAAAATTTAAGGTCGAACACCATCCTCATCAAGACGAGAACATAAAATAAAGATTTAAATGCGAGTCTAGTCAAATTAACCTTTCATTGCTCATTCGGTATGGAAGGACGCTCCGCTGGTACGGCAAAAAAAAAAGCCCCTTCGTCCTTAGAAGCCCCTGAGGTAGGTACGGTTTTCATAAATAACTTCGGGACAGTGTCCTGTGAATGTAAGATGGCCGCCTGACACCTGAGTTCGCTCCGAGGTTTCTCCATAAATTGCCTAGACCCGCCTACCAGTACCCCGGTTCACACCAGTCTTCCTTTTGTTATACCGCATTTTCATATCATAATGTTTACTTTATGCAGCAGCTGTAGCCTATTGCAGGAAGGGGGGCCATCTCTGTGAAAAATCGTGCTTCAAGGGGCCGACCGACATGTACGGTAGTAAAATGCACACGTGGCTGGGGCATGGAAAAATCGAGAGAGATGGGAAGTTAATGATGTATCCCTCTTTGAAGGGAAGTGCATTGTTAAGGGCATGCTGATCTTATTATATTATTATATTTTATTTTTTTTATTCGTATAGCGTTCTTCAAAAACTAATAACGGCAAAGCCGAAAAAAGGTCTGTCTATTATCTAGGCTGAATAATGACAATTTACATACCATCTACGTACATATATGTTTTTTTTTTGTTTTTTTTTTTTTTTTTAGTAGATTTATATCTACATATATATTTAGTAGTTTAGATTATTACTTTTATTGAGTAATAAGATATTCTGTCAAATAAAAGATATTGCTAATAATTAGAAAATATTTTGATCAAAGCATATTTACAGAAAAATAAAAACCAAGTATTATTATATTATAAAAAAACAATACTAAAAGGACAGATAGTAATTTCGTGTTAGGAGAATCATCCTCGGACCACCTTTGACTTTGATTCCAATCATGAAAAAAAATCGCTCCAGTAATCTCGGAGTAAAATCCAACATGGAGTGTGATATGACAGTAATTTTACTATGTTCAAGTCGGACGTGGTGGCGCACAGTGGGATGAGTAAGGGAAAACTCGCGAAATCGGCTAAATCTTTTTTTTTTTCTTTTTAAATGCTAGTATGCTCGTGTTTTATTTTGATTAGTTTAGTTCTTTTGTTTGTATAGATTTACTTTTAGAGTTTTCCCTTGCTCGTCCCACTGTGAGACGGCGCAACGGAAGACGGACAAAATTGTTTTTATTATATTTTCGAATTATACTTATCCTGAGACGTAAAACCTCGAATTTTGAGGAGGAGGTAAGTTTTTGAATTTTCAGTTCGATTACAATGGTTCATTACTGAAAACAATAATCAAAAAAATATAATATATTATATAAAATAACCATATCTGCCAACGGATACTATTTATTATTTATCGCCCAGAATATTTAAAAACGGTGGCTTATTTATTCATATTCCATTGTAATAATTAAAATGAATTTTTAATTTTAATATAGCTTTTATTTTATATACGTATGCCTGTATTTAAGGTTTTATTTTTAATATTTTAAGTTTCTGTTTGTTTATAACCATTTATTTTTAGTATTACTATTTTAACGCAGTTCCATTTAATTCTTCTTATTAATTGTGCATATGGTATGAATTAACTTTTGTATCACTATTACTAATGTCCTTAGTCGTTACAAAATATAATATCTTCAATAAGGAAATTTTTAAAAAATGTATATAAACATCTGTTACTATTTAATTTTTAAAAGTTAAAACTATTTAAATTTTAGCCATTAAATTTAATGCACTTAAAACTATTTTTCTATTACTAAAATTCTATCTTAGTTATTCTTATTTACAAATAATTATCACAGTTGACTGGTTTAGAACTTTTTAAACGTAACAGATTTAAAATGTATGCTTTTTTTTTTTTTTTTTTAGAATGCTTGTAAAACTGACTATATCTAATCTTAATAAAAATAAATAAATTTCCTAGAATTACTCGCAAAACTTTCAAGAAATCAATAAAAGGTGGTTTTAGTGTTTTTATAAAATTAACAGTACCTAACAGTTGTCGAAAAATGTTAGGATCACAACTATGAAAAAATATTATTAACTTTTAGAAAATTGAAACTATTTACGATCACACAGATAAATTGGAGAATCCGTGGCTATATTTCTAACCTAAATATATCACAAATCTAAACATGTCACAAAATCTATAACCTACATTAAGCGACGTAACATTGTAGGTATCTAAAAAAAACCTATACAAAAAAATTCTGTCCAATCTTCTTTTGTTTTTCTTTTTGATGAAACAATTATCTATTTATTAATTTTAAAAAATATTGATTATAACACAATTTTATAAAATCAAAATATTGCAAGAATAATATTCCCCCTAGGAGTTGGGGATAAGAAATTTTATTATTACATGTTTTTCTATGATTGTTAAAAAAATATGTTGAAGGCATTAACAATAATTCTAAACTCAGTTATTATATTAACTGCTGTGAATACTTTTATAAGAACACTGTTGAATAATCCGGAGTAAAGATTTGTTTCGTTAATATATTATTATTTCATTAAAGCCTCAACTAGATTAGATATACCAATTTTTTTTTTTTTTTTAGTTCAAATCTCCATCCGCACCTGTAATGATAGTGACAATTAGCTGATTTTTTTATGTTACGAGATGGCATTACAGAGATGAGGAAAAATAGTACCCAGCAGAAAATCGTCCCTGGTCTTTGTTTGCATTCTGAAATCAATTTTAAAAAACCTCTCATCCAGCTCCTTTTCAGTGGCATCCTGATGAGCATGTCAATCATGGGCATGTTTAAAAAGTATTTTATTGTGTCCGTTTAGTTTAATATGATAGTTGTTATTAGTCTTAGAATTCTAGATTGAAAAGACTGTAGTTTTGTTGAGACTTCTTTGCATAACCATAAATCTGTGAGGCGTGTATGTAATGTTATTATGATTTTAAAAAGTCTTTCCTTTCATTGACATGTGGGCTATCAATACAATTTTTTTTTTTTAAATCTTGACGGATGAAACTTATCACATTATTTTTTTTATAAGATGTTATTATTCTTGTGGAATTCTTGCCTCGTGTATTTAGTTTATGGACGTATTAAAAGAATAAAAATTAAAATAAAAACCTCCCGTCCCAGATATTGGACATAAAGTTATCCAACAGATAATGAAACCGTCCCTGGGGCTGGAGGAGATCCAAGTCTGAGCACGATTCCGATATAAATCCTGCCAAGGGAAGTATAAGATAGTCCCGGCCGTAAATCCTCCGCAGCCCAGAAAACCCTTTCTGGAAAATCTCTCTCTCTCTGGAAATTTCTTCTCCGTAGAAAATCGGTACCAGTTTTCCTCCTGGAGGCGGGGGCACGTCCACAAATATATCTTGACAGCGGGGCATAAATTGGTTCGAGTCACGGCGGCTGTAAAGGGATGAGCGGGAAAATTACTGTGCTAGGGCCGAAGAGGCGGAGGTTTTTCCGAGGGAAAGTCAGATAATACTTTATCCCTTGATTAAACCCGTACCTCCCTTTACGACCTGGGATCCTCAATTATTGCCCAGTATGAAATTTCATTTCGGTCTTGGAAAAATGGGCCTGCGAAGTTGTAAAATAATCTTTTATTTTTCTCACATCTCATTTTATTATTCAGAAGTATATAGACCAATTACTATATAATAAAAATGGAATGTAAATAAAATACCTTGATAAATATTATAGGCATATTTGCAGTTACACCGAATGATTATTATCCATGAGAATTGAAGTGATAAAACCAGGTGCTTGTACTCATACTATATAATATATTTTATTGATAACTATTTTTTATAGTCGACCAAAGCTTCTATTATTTGAAATCTTGAGAAAAAATTTATTTTTTCATGGATTTAGTTAATGCGAGTAACCGAAAAGAAACTTTATTAGAGTTATAGATCGTAATTTATGCCTCAGTAGTCTATTACATTAAATAATTGATTATAAAATATACCAAATTTTTCAGTCAGTATAATTTTAAAATATCGTGGTATTTTTTATCTGAAAAATATAAAAAAATCTGAATCAATAAAAAAATCAAAAGACAGTAGTCAGTTGATAAATTCATTAATAGCTGTAAAAATCAATTGAAAAAAAAAATTATGACCAAATAGATAAAATCCACTTGCGTATAACGATGCCCAGTCTTGGCACCTAGTCCTGTACAATCATAGAAATAGTTAAGAAGGCAATGAACGATATCAACATATCTAACTGAAATGCACGTAAAGTTCTTCTAATTATACACATTTTTTACAAAGAAATTCTGTAGTTATAGACGAAATTGAGAGGATTAGAAACAATAAAACATTCAATTTCATTAAAACAAAATTTGTTTGTTATTGATAAATTACTCAATAATCTTCTTGTCCCTCAGTTACTGAATCTCACCTCCGGAGATAAAGTACGACCTATGACATTTTTGTATTCGTTCAGGGAGCCAATTATCCATTACTTTGAGCTATTAAAATTTGTTTCTTAGTTACTAGATTATTTAGTAATAAAAAAAAAGAAGATGGTGTCCATCACTTCCGAGGTACGGCATAAATATAGTTGTATTATTGTTTGTGAAAAATTCATTATAAATACAAATAATGAAAAAGATTAAGAGCAACTGTTGATACAGTTAGTGTAACAATGTAATTTTAAGGATGTTTCTAAAAAAAAAAAAAAATCATATATTTTATTAATATGAAAATTTTATATATATTAAAAGGGTGATAATGACATCAAATTTAAATTATAAATTATTTATACAAATGATAAGATAAATCATAATAAAAGTATGTATGTTATAATAATAATTGTAATACTGAAATCTTCCCTCACAAGTAATAGACTGTAAGTAGTTATTTTATTTTTATAATAAAGTAAGATTTTTCTCTTTAACGCTGTAAAGTAAAAATAAAGTAGGACTGTGAATCTAAAGTGTTCTCTATTATTATATAAAAATTAAAGTATTTACAAGCGGAGGAAGGACCAATTTTTCGCAAACTGTAAAGAAAAAAAAATCAGGAAAAAGGATAAATTAAATAACGGACGAAGCTATGATTAACAGCCAAATTCGCTATTTAATAATATTTAGATAATAAAATGTTAATTCGTTGCTGCCAGATGTCAGTTACAACAATAAAATATCTATAAATTATACGAGTACTATTCAAGAGAATAAATTTAATTACTAATCAAACAAATGAACTATACATTACTGTTAATCATTGTTTACTAATTTATCGCCTTATTAATTTCATATTGATAATTGGAATTCGCGCTGACAGCATCAGGAATAAATAGAAAGAAACTTTATTCTAAGTGAAAGGTTTTTTTTTTTTTTTTTTTTTTTTTTTATGAAAGCACGATAATCCAAGACCGGGTACTTATAATTTACAAAATCCTAAATTATTTCACGGAAAACATAAGTTGCGAAAAGTATTTTTTTTAAATATATAAAAAAAGAAAGAATAAGAAAACAACAACATTTTACTATAATTTTA